TTGTGTTTTAACTGCAATATCTAACTGAATTTATTGCATTTTACATCAGAAATTGTGAAAGGAGGGATTCAATTGTACAAGCAGATGATATATGACTTGATGATAACATCATTAATCCAAATAAGCAAATTGATCCATTTTCCAGCTATCTGGCAGTGGCAGATTTCAACTAAATACATTTAGTGTACTTAAGTGTAATTTTGACAGTTTATGAGGTACTTGTGATAGCTACATTACACAGCTTTGCTGAAGTCTTGATTCTAATTGGTCAAATACAGCATTCTATGGTCTGTTATTCAGAAATAACATAAAAATAATGTCTGTTATTGGTTGTCATTTTTAACATCATTAATTTGAAACCATCGTCAGTAAAAACGTTGCACTACTTCCAAATCAATATGCGTTGCTACTTCGCTACAAAACAAAACTCATTACTACATTCTGATACATGTGCCTGTTTCAGAGGCTGGGAAACAGTGGGACGCCCGTCCGAAAAACCCTGCGGCCCCATGAACTCTGACCTTGCAGTGCAGGACCACCACGTGCTGAGGGTCAGAGGTCAGCCACGTCTCCATGGCCTTGCAGATGGCACAGATTTTATCCAGCGGTGGGGCGTGGAGGTCTGGCCAGCCGAAGTCATGAACCTGGTGGTTGAGATGGAGGGAAAGATCATGTGGTTTAGGGAGATTTAACTGAAGGCTGTGAGCCGAATTCTTGACACAGAAATGTGGGAACAACAAGAATAAAAATTCTACCTTTGGATTTAGTCGGCTGATGTCGTGGCGCCTCTCGGAGAGGTTCAGGAGCTGAAGCGGAAAAGATGAGTTATTGCTTTGGTTATGTTATCATGGGTGTGGCAGAAAAAAACAAATAGACTTTGTGGCTTGCTAAGTGTCTTTTGCGGCTTCCTGTGGCTATATGTCAAAACATATTGTCTCTTTTGTCTATTGTGCAGCAAGCATCATCAGATGAACTGAACTGAATACTCTAAGGGCAGAAGTCAAATCACTGCTGTCACAAATAGCACAGACAGAGAGAGTGCGCTGCATTTCTGCTCCCTCACCAGAAACTTGTCCTGGTGTTTGGACTTGAGCATGGCAGCCACCTCCTTCAGGTTGATACGGTATCTCTGCTCCTCCAGCTTCGGGGGGAAGAAAACGGAGATGATCCTCTCGGTGATGTAGGTCAGGTCGAAGTCATAGTGGCGCTCCATCACTCTCTCCATCACGCGGTCCACACTGAAGCTCCTGGAGGAACAGAGGAAGAAAAAGAAGAGCGAAAGCAGGGGGTCAGGACACGGAGGGAAAGGTGGACATGGGTTCAAATGTGAGCGGCACTGCAGGCTGTATGTGGCAGCTCGACATGAATGTGCTCCTTCACACGCAAGTCTGGTGAAAGCAGATGGATGGAGAGAAAGAGAAAACAGAGGAGCGAAGGGAAAGAGAGAAACTGGATACTGTGTGTGACATGTAGGTCAGATCAAAAGCCAACTTGCTCCATCACATGATTGACTCTAAACCTTCCGGAAAGAATGAAGAAGGGGCGGCCATTAGCCTGAGGGACAAGTGAAAGAGGGCAGAAACAGAGAGGACACTGATTTGAGCAAAGTGTGGAGCAGTGCACAAACCCACAGACATGATTTGCCTCTTTGGAACAGAGCGACAGGAACTTGAATAACATGTATAATAAGAAATGAATGAGAGGACCTTTACCTTGGCAGGGTGTTTCTCTGTTTGGTATAGGTCAGAGACTTGGTGGACCCCTGTGGAAAAAAACAAAGATACATTTAAAAAAGTCATAGCTTGACTATAATTAATGATCATTTCATTTCAATGTTTACATATCAGAGCTTTGGCACAATGGTAGCAATATCCTTCAGTTGCAGTACACTTATCAAGTCGCAACTTGTGTGACATATTTCCTGTAGCTGCCAACAGAGCACAAGTGCACGTTCAGACTGCAAGCATATTAAGGTCTAAATGCATGGTCCAGTCAAGCTCAGATGCTTTGTTGATTTTATTTAATTTCCACATAGTGAACCAGTAAGTAAGATTAACCATGCAGTGTTTGTCTACAGTTACAATCAGATGAAAAACAAGGAGGAAACGGAGAGGAGTAGTTTTGATAAAGAAATTACATTTAGTTTAGTGGAATGTTAGGAATCACTAAATAGAGGATTTCATGACCCCTGCACATGAA